CCCTGAGCGCCTGCCTGTTGAAGTAGACGATGTAGTACTGCTGGGCTGGGGTGTCCCATGTTCCGGTGAAGTCTCTTCACGTAGCGTAGTGCCTCCGTGCCGAACTGCTCTCGTATACGCGCTGATGAGCTTCGCGACTGGAGTCCGAGTGCTCAGGTTTAGCACCCTCCTCCGATTGCGTAGATTCCTCCGCCGCGTAGATGTCCTCGATCTCTGGCTCGACCATGACTTGCGCCATCGTCGCTGCTAAGATGAATGGGTAGTCCTCGGCAAATTAGGTGAACTTTCGCCCCTCCTGTAGGTCACTTCCATGTGATCGGTCGCATCGCTCGCTGAGTACCGCTGCCAAGAGCTCCTGGGTCGCCTTGAACGTCGTCGGCCTCTTGACCGTTTTACGCGCTGCCCTCGATCGCACGGTCGTGCACGCATTGGTCGAACGTGCTGCGTTCGCCGCGTAGGCGGCTGAACGCCACGGTATGCCACGCCCTCGACGTAGCTGGATGTTCGATGTGAGCACGTCACCCTCCTTGCCGCTGCATGCGATATATCTCGGCCACAAACTGTAGATGTACTCGATGATGCCATTCTCGTAGCTCGGCGAGGTACTCCTTCCAACCGGGGCGCCGGTGGACGTCGATCTCCTGCGAGCTGGACCAGGACCCGCGCGTGGGCGACATATGAACCTCGTCGGGCTGCTCCTCCGTCAGCTTCTTGAGGAATGCCTTCTGAGGGCCCTCCTTTGCGAAATCCCAACGGGCATTGAGCCCGAACGTCTCCGCGCGCGCTCCTAGATCTTTCAGGGCTCGTGAGAGCCTGGCTTCTCCAGCGTAGATTTCCCATGTCGTCTGTCTCGTAGCGCGCCGCTGGCGAGCTACTCTCCTCATGGACTGTAGGCGGCGCTCGCTGGCATGCTTCGCGGCTGAGTCGATCTTCAGAAAGAAGTTGGTCAAAATCTGCTTGACGCCGTCATCGGGTTCGTCGCCGGCCCTGACGTTGACTTCGTCCGTCGCAGGTGGCAGTAGGGACCGGCATGGCTCCGATAGCGCGGCGTCGACTGGCTCAATGGCTGTCGTAGCGAAGCAAAGGTTGCCGCATGAGGAACGCCGCCGACGCTGCCACTGCTTCATGTAGGGTCTGCAGCAACTAACTTGTACTACGCGTCGGGAACAGCCTTCTGTGCGAGGTCGCCGTCATGGTTGCTCCTGCTGTTCGCCGTTCTCGCTGGAGTCCGCCAGGTAGGCGTTGCCCAAAAACTCTACGCCGCTCATGGTCTCGCTGCCGGGGTCCAGGAACTGCGCTGCATCGACGGGCTCGTGCTCGAAGTCGTTCGTGTGGTGACTCGTCTTCCCGCCCAACTACTCTACTAGGTCCACCGCGGAGCGCCCTTGAAGCGATAGCGTTGCAGCCTCGAAGTCGCCGCCCGCGTTCCACGCGACTGTCTGCTTGGCGTAGTCGACCTGAACTCCGAACACTTCCAGCAACGGCATTGGAAATAGGATGGGCGCACGTCCCGGCACCGCGTGGATGTAGAGCGCGCCTGACTTCTGCTGGAAGCTGGCAGGTATAGTGCCACACCACTGCGCACATTCGATCTTGCCGTTACCGAACCGAAAAGGCCGTCGGCACTCGTAAAACCTGCGGTCCTCGATGTGGTAGCCCTTCTGTCGGCAGACCCCCACGTAGGTCCCTGATCGTCTCTGAGCCGGACATGAGGGTCGTCGTTCCACAGTCCATGACTCCATTGCTGGTATTGCGCTGGTGTTGGCCGTGCCATGACACTTGTCGCCCCAATAGACCTCATCGACCATCGAGCTGTCGTCGGTGTGGACCCGCTTCTTGTTGGGTGGCTCGGTGCAGTCCCTAGCCTGGTGGCCGGGCTTGCCGCGTCGTTGGTAGTTGGCCGATGGTGTTGATGTCGGTGCTGGCTTCGTAGCTGCCTTCGCCCTTCCCATTGGGTCCGCTGCAGTAGGTCGCGGTCTGCTGTGCGCGCCTGGAGGCGATGACCCTTTTGAGCTGCCATTTCTTCCTTTGGACTTGCCGCGTCCTTTGGCGCCTTTGCTGCTTGACCGGCCTCGTCCGTGTGAGCCTCCTGCTGATGCTGAGGCCGAACCTGAATTTCCGCCTGCCATCGCCACTACCGGGTAGAAGCCGTACGCTAGCTTCAGGTCGTTGAACCGCTTCCTGGCGGCCTCGTAGGCCGCGTAGATTTCGTCGTGCTCGCCTGGGTCGAGCTCTTGAGCTGCGTTGGGGTCGCGCTGGTAATAGCTCTCGTCGCAGTCGTACCAGGTCTCGTCATCCTCTGCCCAGTACGTCTGGTCGTAGTCGTCTGGCTCGTCCTCCGGCTCGCCAGTGTAGAATTCCCCATCGTAGTCGTCGTAGTACTCTGCTGTGTCGTCGACGAAATACTGCTTCCGTGCGTGATTCGGCTCGTGTACGATACTCGCCTGCCCGAACGTTGTCTCCAACGCCTCGGTAACCTTCTCTTGTGTGATACCCTTACCCACTACTGACATGATGACCGCCTTCTTGTCCGCGCTGTATCCTCCTCGTCGT